GAGGGTGGAAAAAACAGTGCAACAATGAATGAATGAAAACCCAAAATCTCTGTAAATGTTCATTAAAACTAATAAAATTTAATAATTAAAAAAAGTTGTACTCTGCATGCAAAACTTGACGGCATGCAACTACAATATATGCTGGTAAAACCTGTACAATGAGTAAGGAAGACAGAAGAAGTGATGCTCTTGAATTCTGATGCTGATGAAGCATATTGTGTATACTGCAGACTGCCAAAAGAACTGCTTCTACGTGCTGCCAGGATGCCCTGAGAAGTGAGACTCCTGATCGAGACAGTAGCTGCAACAATGGCCTCGAGAACAGGGGAGATCGCAAGGACCGTGCAGGACTGCAATCTGTTGTACACGGAGTTGCTATGAGTCAAAGATGACTCAGAGGCACTTAACAACAACAATCAAAATGATGTGTGAGAGAACTGAGTTTTTATTCCCCCCGTTAAAAAAGAAAGCTCCAATAAAGAAGTAAATAAGGACTCTGAGTTTTATCCCCCGAATGTCTTATGACAACATGGAAGCTATACATTACCAAAAACAGAAGAAAAAGTGAAATACGTCAGTAAGTATTACCTACAGAATTCTGTAAGCAACATGTGTTTCCTATTTAGTTGTGGCCCATCCACTCTATCTCATCAGAAGGACTTCTCAATTAATGGTAGAAGAGCATTTGTTTCTAAAGTCTCTGCCATTACATCAAAAGTAATCAGCCTAAGCATAAAAAGGCAACAATTCTTCACAGAATATGTTTGAACAATGAGAAACAGCTAACTTTTTAAAGTCTATGACTACCATGCATACTTTCTAGCTATAAAATAATTCCATTCTAAAACTTACACATGGTAGCTATAGAAGCACACAATTGCAAAGAATTTTATTAATTTCTCTTTCTTGCTCAGAAGAAAACATACATCCTCTTTTGAAAATGCATCATCCTGTTAAATTACTGTTTGTATGGACAACATATATGCACACATGTCAATGATTAGTTTTACTTAGTTATCTGATAGAAAATATCTATTATATGTGAAGAATTATGTTTGGAAAACTAATTACAGCACCAAATTATATAGCTAAGGTATTTTTGTCTCTGTAACTTAAACTTTTTTTAAATTTTTCCATATATTTTTTCATGCATTTACATGTTTCAAAAGTCATCACTAGAACCAAATCCGCTAACAAATAATGAATATGTCACTTATCACTACATTTACTCAACTGTTGACAGCGTAACTTAATAAGGAGCATATGCAAGTTAAGAGTCCTATCAACTCCTTCACCCAAATCATTCCAAACATCAACTGAGAGGAAATAAAGCAAAGGATGAGCACAAATAGTAAATTTGTCTCTGCACTTTCAGATAAAAATCTATTTGGAAACAATGAAGCGGGCCCGTAGTTCAGCACTGAAAAGCCCTCAGGATCCACGTCATACCTGTGCTCCATAGATATATTTATCCAACATTTTGCCTCCTATTGTCTGTCCTCCTATATCCCAAACTTGAAGAGTAACATTCAAGTTTCCTAGAATTAATAAGAGGAGAAAGGCAACATTAGATAATAATTTAACAGCTGAACACATTTTCAGAAAACACTACATTTCTTCTGTAAACTCTGACCTCAAGTTGTCTTTTGCTCTGCAGACTCTCATGGTCAGGTATTTCTAACTGCGTTTTGCCAAAGAACCCATAATTCAGAGCTACAGTTATCCCTCACCCTAAATCAATGAGCAACCACGTTCTGCATTGTCTTCAAATCAAAAGAAAGTAAGCTTTCATTCTTAAATCTTCACAGAAATGAGAAAGCTCTTTAGAAGAGAATACAATAAAGTGCATATGCTGTGAGTTAAGAAACATTTGAAAAATAAGTGTGCACATACGAGTACACACACACACGTACACATTAATCCACTCCATACACACATGAATTTTGCTTTCTGTTCTAAGCTCTGTAGGGTCTAAAAGTCACAGAAAGACAATGTTTTTGTCACATGCCATCGAGTCTTCATGATCACTGTCACCCTACATACAGCAGCATGGACTCCCTCACCATCACCACAATCTCAGCTGTGCTTATGCCCACTGCTGCAGTCACCGTATCGATCTGTCCTTCCACATCTGTCCTTCTCCAAGGACATACCTCCTGGGGACATACCTGAGAGACAAAGTCTCATCACTCTGGGCTGCACTTCTTCGGAAAACTTACAAATTTCAACTTGAGGGAAAGAGTCTTATTTGAGTTACAGCTTTTTGTAAGCAATGGAAAGCTTAATAAAAATATCATGTTATCATATTTAACCTAAAAATATACACATATTTGACAGCCCTCTTTAGAAGTGATGTAAGATACATACCCAGCACATTACTAAATATCATGCTGCCTTCCTATCTGCGTAAAGCATTTCATTTGAAATAAATTATAACTACATGCCTCCCAGCTTTCATAAAATAATGTAACTATTTTTTCTTCTCTCAAGTAATAAGGTTATTTCTGAAAGTCATAGAACACATTCTTTACTGCAACGTCTCCTAATGAGTTGCTTTAATTAATATTTTCTTGAGAAACTGTTTATTGATCTTTGTCCAAAAATTCTTTTTCTACCTGCAAGAATCCACCATGACATAGACCCTTCTTCATTTTCTGTCATCTTCCAAGTGATACTTCGCCTAATGAATGTCTGCTGGTGGCTTCATGAACTCATCACAGTTATTATATTAGCATGTTTTATACTTAGAATGGGAAGGCTGACATCAAGTAAACACTATATATTTCTTATGACTGAACTTACTTTTCTTTGGATACTTTTACTCAATAAATGTTTACTATAGCACAACACTGCAGAGGACAAGTCAAAAGCAAACATCAGAATGACATTGTCAAACTAAAGAATGAACCTCTAACTTAAGCTGGATTTGCAAGAGCCAGAACATCAGCTCATAACTCATTTTTTTGTTCTTATAGACTGGCCTCAATGTATTTTCTTTTTATTTACTCTTATTCAACCTGAAATAAATTTTGGTTTTATGCCATAGCATGCTAAATTACTAACAAGGTAAATTTTTAAATTCTCATGTGCATTCTGCAAAATATTTGGTGGATGCAAAAATTTGAGATAGCTATTCTCTTTAGGAAGAACAACTAATGACTAAACTAAAAGACAAAGGCCATGTCACACATACTTTTTTAATATCTCAAAGTATTTCTCCTTATAAAATTGTGCTGTTTTATCTAAAGCAAGCTCCTTTCAATTTTTTTTCTCAGAAGGGATGATAAAGACATGAAAGACGTACATTTTTTTCTAAGAAGTGCCAATGTAAAACATTAAAATAGGTGAAGGGTTACTTTGCAACTGAAAAAGAAAGGACCCTCGATTAACCATCAGAGCTTTACCTTAAACTTTGAATTATACTGGGTTTCATTAGTCTTTCTATTCTTTGGACAGATGTCTGTTGCATCTGTCAGTGTGGAATGGATTTACACAGGGATCTTTCACTAGCTCTAATGAGAGCAACTGAAGTTTACCGCTCTACTCGTCATCATTCCCAAATACATACGCTTTCAACATTCACAGAGTAAAGACCACAACATTCTTACAGCCCTATAAATCTGAAAATCAAAACATCACAAACTAAGATTTGTTCAACAATTTGTACAAGCCTGGTCTTAAAACTATAAATTTTTCAAGATTCATCTGCTACAATACTGCCTCATTCGAAACATTTTAAAGGAACTGTTGTCATTGTGGTGCCACCTGAGTGGCCTGCCACTTACAGTGACCCTACGTGTAACACCTCTGAACCCTGTCCTATCATGAGCCAGACTGTCTGACACACTGATTCTCAGTCCCCTGCTACTGTGTCAATCCAAACCATCTCATCCAAGGTTTTCTTTTCCTGCTCTGTCCCTTCTTCAGGGAATGGTCTCTCCTGGCCACATGCCCTAAGTATGTGAGATGGAGTTTAAAAATCCTTGCTTCTAAGGAGCAGACTGCTTTCACCCTCTCAGTACATAAACCTGTTTGTTTTCTTGGTGGTATATGGTATGTTCAACACTCTTCTCTAGCACTACAACTGAAAGTCATCAATTCTTCTATCAACTCTAGTTACTGTTTAGCTCTCTGATGCACAGCAAGTAATTGTGAAAACCATGGCCTGAACCAGGAGCACCTTAGCCCATTACTAATGTCAGTTAATGCAGAGTGGATTCCAACTGGTCACGAAAGGTATATGACACAGTTCTGATGACCCTAGATAAAGAGGCTTTGCTTATTCACTTAACTTGCCAAGTTCTTCGCAGCTGTTTGTTTTACATTACATTGTTTCTCAATACTCAACTTTTTGTTCAAAATTATTAAATTTTTGAGTGAAGGTTTACATATCATAGGTTTCTCACACACAGAGATATTTTGTTTTATAACATTGTTGTTGTTGTTGTTGTTGTTGTTGTTATGTGCCGTCGAGTCGCCTGCGACTCATAGCGACCCTATGTACAACAGCCCTAAACTCCGCTCTGTCCTGTGCCGATCGCACTGTCTCTGACACTCCCATCCCAATTATCCCAGTCACTGAATCAATCCACCTCATAGAGGGCCTTCCTCTCCTGCACCGTCCCTCCACCCTCCCAAGCATGATGTCTCTCTCCAAGGACCGGTCTCTCCTCACTACATGTCCGAAGTAAGTTAGACGGAGCCTCAGAATCCTTGCCTCCAAGGAGCCACCTGGTTTAACCCTCTCCAGGACAAATCTATTTGTTTTCCTAGCAGTCCATGGTATTCTCAGTACTCTTCTCCAGCACCACAGCTCAAAGGCATCAGTTCTCCTTCTATCCTCCTTGGTCATTGTCCAACTCTCTGATGCATAACAGGTGATTGCGAAGACTATGGCCTGTATCAGACGCACCTTAGTCTCCAGAGAGACACCACTGCTCTTCAGCACTTTGGAGAGGTCCCTAACAGCAGACTTTCCCATGGCAATGCGCCTTTTAATTTCCTGGCTGCTGGTGCCAAGACTGTTGACTATGGAGCCAAGCAAACTAAAGCTGTGTACAATCTCAATCTCTTCACCATCCATCCTGATGCTGCCGATTGGTCCAGTGGTGAGAATCTTTGTCTTCTTGACATTGAGCCTCAATCCATATTGTAGGCTGCAGTCCTTGACACTCTGCAGCAGGCGCTTCAGGTCCTCTTCAGTTTCAGCAAGCAGGGTTGTGTCATCCGCATAACGCAGATTTGTTGATAAATCGTCCATTATCATTGATTAATATGATTAATTATAAAATCCAATCAACCTCTTACCAAATGTTATGATTCTTTTCAAACTTTACTTTTATAAAGTATTATTTTAGGCAACACAATTATTGAGAAAAAAAGACAGTGACTATTCTCATTTTATTCAGTTAATAATCCGTACTGCTTAACCTTGCATCAAGAAATGTGAAGATTTATTCCTTTCCTTTTCTTCTCTAAAGTTCTGATATTTAGGTAGAGTAATTCCATTATACAGAGCTCTGCTGGCCTAGTGGTAAGGAGCTGCATTGCCAACCCAAATATACATGGCTCAAAGCCACCAGCTGCTCCACAAGATAGGCAATCTCTCCCAAGGTGATTTACCGCCTCTTTAAACCCACTAGAAGGTCAATTATGTTGTTGGTAGGTGCCATCAAGTCAAGTATGACTCACAGAGATCCTATCAACAGACCTGATCCCTGTCCTGTCCTGTGCCGGCCTCCCCAGCTCTGACACATCGGAGTCCACTGCTGCAGTCACTGCATGGATTTGTCTCACTGGAGGTCTTCCTCTTCTTCACTGAGCCTCTACCTTTCCACCGTCCCCTCTCCTAGCAACATATCCAAAGTGGGAGGGAAGGAGCTTTATCATCTTTTCCTCCAAGGAGCACGCTGGCACTTTTCCCAGGACATATCTGTTTGTTCTTTTGGCAGTCCACTGGATACTCAGTATACTTCCCCTGCACCATGGCTCAAAGGCATCAATTCTTCACCTTTCATCCGTATCCAATGTCCAGCTCTCAGATGTATGGCAGGTGACTGAAAAGACCAGGGCTTGAATCAGACACACCTTAGTCTTCAAGTTGACATCATTGCTCTTAAGTATTTTGGAGAGGTCCCTGCCAACGGACTTGCCCAATGCAGTATGTCTCCTGATCTCGTGACTGCTGGTGCTAAGGACGTTGATTGTTGACCCCAGCAAGATGAAATCATGGAAAGTGGTCAGCTATGAGTCAGCTCCACATCAGCAACACATAACAACACTTATATTATAGGGCACTCTGGTGGCCCGGTGGTAAAAAGCTATGCTGCCAACCCAAAAGCAAACAGTTTGAATCCACCAGATGCTCCATGTTTGAAAAATAGACCCTCTTCTCCCATGTGTTTTACAGCCTCTGAAAACCTACTGGAGGGTCAGCTGTGTGTCAGTTCTGACCTGACGGCACATGACAAAAACTGCTACATTATATGTTCTAACTAAATTAAAGTCTGTGAACACTTCAACCACAATATTCAGAACATGCTTTTCATTATATGCTTCCAAATTCTGATCATCTTCCTTCTAAGAGCCTCAATCTCCTATCCGAGAAATCGATACCCCTGCATTTGAGAATAATTTTTAAATCTATACTTTGTAAGCAAGCCTTGTTTTTCATTGTTATTTTTGTTTATATATAGATTCAAGTGACTTAGAGCTAAAAATGGCTACATATTACTATCAGCCTACTAATATACTACACTGATAAAATGTAGAAAAAAGTCCTTTCATTAATTATAACTTCAACAAAGTAATTTAATTTCACCTTGCTAGAAATAAACTTTTTAATTTCTACATCTGAATATTAGGCTTTTTTAACATACAAGATATAAAATGAGCATTCTCTGTTTTGAAAAAAAATCACATAAATGTTTTATTCAAATCAATACTCATTTTTATTCTTGCAGGCATAAACATACGTATCCTCCTAGTTTATTTTCGAAATCACATGCCCATAAAGCTTTATGAGAGTATTCACATAATCAATGCTCCAAAAGTGAAAACTCAAGAATCCATCTAACATAAACATCTCGTAAAAACTTTAAGGAAATTGTCAACCACCTAAGCCTAAAAGCAAAAAGCTGTAAAACCCTTGCTTGTCTGTAAGGAACAACATGTAACGAGGGGGGCAAAATAAAATAAATGAGGTGACAAAATAAAGGTGAGCTGCTTCTGGTGTGAATCAAAGCCACCAAGAGGATTCTACCAGTGACCTTGTGAAGTACACTCGGTGCCTTGGTTAACCGGACTTAAAGTGCTGCACAGTCAGGCTGGAACGAAAAACACAAGTCTGCCCACTTCTTGTACTGAAAACTTAGAAATCCTTTTCACAGTAGAACGCTGTTTACTGGACTGTACCCACAAGCTTCCTGAAAGTATTTTGACTAAGACTCTTAAGAAGCTCTATCAGCAGAATCTCTGACTAACAGATACACTATTTTAAGCAGTCAGTGCTGCACAGTGGTTGCATCCAGACTATACAGCATACCGGATCATGAAGTATACTGAAATGGATGAGAATCTGTGAAGTAATGACCTTGAAAATGTGCATGGAGAGAATGTGAACAGATGAATAGAAGGTGTTACAACCCTGACAATCTGACTGGCCGGAAGACTTACTAGAATACCAAGAAATGTTTGACTTCTCCATAATACTGTTCTCCAATAAATTAAGGAATGTAGCCGGAAATGTTTTACTAAATGATACAAATATTAATCATCCTACATTTGACACTTAAAATTAATTAGGGCTAAACTACGCAAAGAATACACTGTCTTATAATTTATTCAATTATTTCTTATTAATTACATAAAATTAAGATGCATTAAAGTAAGCTTTCTTACTGAAATTTCTAATTTATTCTTGACTTTTAATATTTTAAGTAGCATAAAATCATTGTTGTTAAAAATAATATTTAATTTACTTCTGAAAGGTTGCTCATCAAAGTTAAAAATTTAATCAGAAAAATTAAAGTCACATTAAGCATATCCATCTCCTTATATCCCTTAACATAAGTACGTTCTTATTCAAAAATTTAAAACATTATGTTTTATAATTTTTCTTTTATATTCTATAAACCACAACTTTAAAAAAAATAAAAATTTGAAATTGGTAATAATGTTTAACATAAGAAATCAGTAAAAAATATCTAACATATATAAAACATCCAAAATCAGCCTTCGCTTGAAAAGTGTTAATATTGTAGGTTAGATGCTTATTACTAGTTAAACACTTCAACCAAAAAAGTTAAAAAACAATAATAATTCTGCAATTAGAAAATTGGTGGTTTTACCAATTTAAAGCACAAACGAAAGAGCTAATAACTAAAACTACATTCAGAATTAGATATACAACAAACAACGTACATTCTTAAAAAAACACCAAAAATCTTGAAAAGCAAGTTTGTGGCATGCATATGATCTGCGCACTACTCTGTAGTATTATAATAGTACACTATCATCTGTGCGCCATTCTCCTAGTGACTCTAACTGCTCTGAAAGCAACATTAACCTGTTCACATAGGTAAGAATAAGAAAAACAAATGAGATTTTCGGCTTCAAATACATTAAAAGAAAATCCACACCAAACACGCATATGTTTCTAATTAAATAGCTCACTGAAGAAAACTTAGTAGTGGAAAATGAGAATTCTTTTCTAATGCTTTATCTTCTTATGCACTTTCACTGGTAGCAGAATACAGATCATTACAAAACATACAGAAGTATACCATGTTACTAATGAGATACACAGAAGATCTGCCAATTAACAAGAGTTTTCATTGTTTTAAAACTTTCATGGGAGTTGTCTGATAGATGGAGTGCTTGAGAGGTTACCATATTTTAATACTAAAATTTATGAAACCTCTTTCAACTATATAATGCATGTTCCAGTACATGAATCTGACATCACATTTGCAACTGTTTTATTCAAATGTGTTTTCTCAGAGGGGAGAGAGAGAGAGAGAGATGAATGGTGGGCTGGTTAATAAAGTCAATGAAGATAAACTGCTTTTAATAAAATGCTTTAAATATATAATTTAACCATTGCAAGTAAACGAACAGAGAATTTTTAAAGCCCCAATTGTTCAGAAACTAACTTAAAACAGAAACCACTCTTTTTTTGTTATTATTTCCCTGTATTTCCCACAAAATGTGCTGCAACTGGCATCTAAATAGTTTCTTTGCATGGTGAACTGAAACATCCTGAATGCTCAAACTGTATTTTTATGAGTGCCTGGGGACCCTAAATTTTAGTGGTCTATTAAATGCCAGCAATTTCATGCTGCCTTGCATAAAACAGCATTCACATACTAGAGCACAGAAGTTCCATAGCTACATTATACTTCTGCTCCAACTTTCTCTCAAACAAAAAACTCAAGCAGAGGCTAATCAAAAGAATATTTTCAAAATAATCCTTCCCAATCTCTTCACAGTTACTTAATACAGTATCTGTTGACAATTGTACAGCATTTGACTTTTAAAAAATGTTTTAGAATATTATAAGTAACTATTGTTTACCACTGGCGGGAGGGGGGAATGTCTAGAGACTAAGTAGAAAGGTAAGAATAGGTGGTGTGTACACTTTTTTTCTCACACCTATGGCCAATACGCCTTCAGGGTCTATGCTGATGAAAGTTAACCTCCCTAAGCTAGATTTATTGATTATATATATTTTCAAGCAGCGGTGAAAAAAAAAATATTTTACACAATTCTGCCTTATGCTGTTATTACAAGGTTTGTACAATGGTCTATGTTAAAACTCTATAGTCTCTTACCTGGCAAAGTTATCCTTCTCAAAAAGAAATCCAGTCCTATTGTTTGTTTGTACTGCTTCCCAAAAGTCTCTTGAGCAAAACACGTAGCTAAAGAAGTCTACAAAAATTGATGCACAGAATATCAACATTAATTTCTTTGTTTTAGAAATGTGGATATTACAAAACTACTATATCTTATTACGAATTCTAACATTTATATGAGTCCATGAAACCAAAAATCAACTTTAAGCAATCCTAATCACTGTGAAGGGAAGAGGAATTTAACACTGGATCAGGTGAATTTCACATGCCAAATGTTCTCAGTGGGGACAACACACTAATCCCTTATATCTCTTTAAGTCCACATTGTCAAGCACCCTCTCCTTGCTGCAAAATACAATTTGAGTTTGTCAATGGGAAAAACTACAACAGTATGAATAAAGATGAGAAACCTTCTATATCCATATATGCCAGTTCAATAAAAATTTTGTTTCCAAGGTTAAGTATTAATAAGAAGAAATACTAATTAAAGAAAGCATGCTTAACACAGCAGTGCATTTTTTACCACAACAAAATCTATTTTTAAATGTCTAATTTTTTTCATATTAAAAATAATAAAACTGATTCTCCAGAATGACTCTGATAGTATGTATCTGACAATATAAGTGCTGGTATTTTTAAGATTAATATAAAATACATAAATATTTTCCAGCCCCAAGAACTGTAATGCACAAAAGTCCTAAGAATCTTACAACCTGAACTGCTGTTTATCCACTTCTGAAAATAAAAACTCAAAAGTTTTATTCAGAAACACTGATGTTTTCTTTTAGAGTATCACTTCTTATCAAAACAAAATAATCACTCAAATAAATGAAGTAACTCAATATCTCAAAGGCTCTTCAAACATTTTAAGTATACTATTCTTATTGGTAAAGCTTCTAAAAAAGAAGATGCAGCTTTATCAAGCTTGTACATTCATTTGTCAAAACAGACTTTAAAAGCTAAGGGACATGCCCTTTTTTTAAATTCTGAAAGTTGAAATTACAAGGCAGCTTTTTAAAACAATGAAAAGATAAGATTTCCAAGATAATTTATTATATTGAAGATGTAATTACAGCAATGCTAAAGAAATCTTGGCCCAATTTCAACTCCTAACAACAAGACCTTTTGACACAAAACAAGTATTTTCACATAAATGGCAATCTGTGCATCGTAACTGCAAATTTTTAAATTTTTAAATACTTAACACTGGCAGTTAATTCCTAACTTATGTGCTCAGTCACTAAGTCCTACCATCTGAACATGTTTTTGCTAGACATTGACAAATAAATGCACTACACCAAAATGAAAATGCAGTGGACTTCCTCCATGCATTCAAAAAGAAAATTCACATAACACCAATTTAACCACTGAGCTTTTTAAGCATGTGTAAAATCATCTGCAAAAAAGGTCAAAGTCCTAAGAGAAAACTTAACTACCATGATTCACACCCCAGATCGCCCAGTGTGTGCACTCTATGGAGAGCTGAAACACCTTGAAAAGCTAAAGACGATCTCACAGCAACACAGAACAACTGTGTCATTTATGGAAATTTTTCACATTAATATTTTCAATTCAATATTTTTACACTAATGAGTGGGGGGGGCAAAATCTACCCTTTACTGTAAACACATTTCTAAATTTTCAAACCACACCCTCATACTTTTGAGCCTAGCATAAAGTGCTAGCACTTTCAATTGAAATACAGTATCAAAAGTATAGATTGTGCACATTAAAATGAGTTAACATACCTTCTGGCACATTGTCAAGAACTCCTTTCTTTTCAAATACTTGAATTTAACGCCCTCTTTCACATTCACTAATTTCTCACAAATCACTGTACAAAATGCCCTTCTTAAACAATTATCAAGTGAACCACCATCCTACACATCTAAAACACTTTATCTCCTTCTTTCCATATTTTTTGTTTGGTGCAAATAATTTTTAATTATTTTATAGCTACTAACACTAAGAAGATATCATAAAAATAGAATTTTTTTAATTCAGAGAAGTATCAGTGGGTAAAAAAAATCAATAATAAGAATCAGAATACGAAAGAAATAGAAGCACTTGTTCCCTGAGGGAGGAGCTACTTTTTCCTTGGAGAAACTGGTAATGGTCAGTTAACTTCTCCACTGCTTTCATCAGTGAATAAAAATGCCCTGATTTAGTATTATTGGGAGAAAAAAATGCTAGGAAAATGGCCAGGAGTTAAACTAGAATACAAATAAGAAGGGAAGAGAGGTTAAGTTCATAAAAGAAAAGTAGAGTAAAAAAAGCATAAAAGCAATGTTGGGAGAAGTCAAAATTTAGCAAGCGGAATGAAATACAGAGGAAAATATGTCCCATTCGAATAAATGAAAATAAGTTAGGGTCAGATACATGTATCAGGAAATTTCTATTATAGTTTGAAAACAGGTTATTCATCAAGATGGTGAAGATTCAAATAAGGGCATCAGACTATCACTATTATTACTATTTAATGCATAAAGATCATCCGAACTTAACAGCACTGACATGAAAAAAGTGGGCTTTTTCCTACACTGGACAGAACTTTAGGCACAGTAAAAAGCCCATCTATTCAGATCTAATTAGCAATGAGGGGGAAATATGCAAATGTAACCTAGATAGAAAATATGAATAAGCTTCAACTGATACGTATATACCAGAACCCTTCTAGTTCTATGAAGTCAACTCATGGTGACCTTGGAGGTCAGAAGAGAACTAACTGTCCCATAGGGTTTTCAAGGCTGTAATTGACACGGGAGACACTGCCCATCTTTCTCTCCAGAGCATCTGGAAGTTTCGTACCATCAAGCTTTCATCCCAGTTGAGTATACTTTAATCACTGCATCACATACCACTTAATACATGTACAACAGCAGATGATTCCTGCAGGAGTGAGGTGAGGAAAACTTTAAAGGATTAGGATACAGTGCCGAATGATGGTCACTGTTGCAGTCTTTGTAGAAGTGTACTAGTTAGTGTGGTACTGGAGTCAGCAAGAATGGCTCTGGACAGGGCAGGCCTCAGACCTGCTATTTGGACATAGGGTCGCTATGAATCTCAGGTGACTCCATGGCGCATAACAACAACTAGTGTTACAGTCTGTCATTGTCATTTTAAACTCATTTAAGAATCCATATGATTTAGGAAATCAAAGCTTAAGCAGCCTTCAAAAGATAACCTAAATGCTAAGAAAATTGTAACTTTTCCTTGAAAAGAAGCCATGTTGAGTGATTTCTAACAATTCACTCATTCCAAGAGGTTTTTCTCTCATTGCCGTGGTGTGGACCTGACGCACAGTTGACCCTCCACTGAGACCCTGGGACTGACCTTCTCCTGTGCAGGAGCTGATGGATCTGAGCCATCAGAGCGGTGCAGCTGTGGGTCAGTTAGCAGCACAACTCATTGCAGAGAAATGCTCACTGCACAAAGGAATGGGATCCCAGCTCTACCCAACACGTCTAAAGGTGATCTGAGCACATTCCATTTCTCCATAAAAATCTGGTCACAAAATATCCTAGTCAAGCTAGAAGGGAACAGAATTTTCCAAGCACGGCATGTGAATGACATCTTTCCAAGGGGCCCTAAAAATGCAAATCTGAGGGCTGCAGGCGGGGGCAATCTTGCAGCGCCAGACAGGATGCAGAGAGATGCTGTCACCGCAGAAACCCCGGTCCACACTTTAGGAACGACTGGAAAACGGGAAAACTGGGGGCAGGAGATATAATAACCTGCGTTTCTGAAGACCAGTGAGACTTCAGTTTCAAAGGCGCTGGCGCTGAATTCTCCCTTTGGAGAGCAGAAGGGAGACAGAACTTGAGCACCATGTGCCAGAAACGACGGGTGGGAAGGCCTTCTACCCAGGCGCGTCCCTTCATTTAGGGGGTGGGTCACAGACCCCTTGGGGGTGGGATTAGGGGGTCTCTCCCAAGCAAGTACCAGGCAAGGTTTAGTCCACTTTTGGAATCCCACAGGCCCCGGCTCCCGAACTCTCTGTTGGGAGTCAAAGATCTGGCTGGCTGGCACGGCTATTTTAGCATCCATTCATTCACACCTCCATCAGCCATCACAGCGGGGTTAGTTAATGGCAAGGACTCCCCCTGCGCCCGGCTCAAGGCTCATCAATGCATATCAATGCATATCTACTCCATCAGTGCATATATGCTCCCTCAATGCACTTCTGCTCATTGAGTGCACATGCATCAGGTGCTGCGCTGGGCGCGGAGACGAGCGAGGGAGCATTTACAGGGTGCCCGCCGCGTCCTGGCAGATTTCTGTGTGTCTGCGCGGCTCAGCCTTTCAAAGGCCCTTAGTGGTGAACCCTGCCCCGGGTCACCTTGCAGAGGGGACACAATCAGGTGAGTAAATGCCCTCCAGGGGTCAGGCCAGTGAGGACGCCCCAGTTCCCACCTAGGGAGTGCAGAGCCCAACAGTGGGGGAGGCACGGCGCAATGGGTGCACCGTGCAATGGGTACAACGGATGTATAATAAATAGATACATCGTGCAAGTGGTGCACAGTGCAATGGGTGCAACAGATGCACCGTGCAATGGGTGCATCTTGCAATTGGTGCAATGGGCACGGTCCAGGGGGCCGAAAGGGGCAGTAGCGAGGTCAGGAGCTGACCCTCGACCGTTGGTAGGGCTAGGGCGGGAAGGCCCCCCGAGGAGGCGACGCTGGCCCACATCTTTACCAGCCTAAGGGAGGAGGTGAGACTCGGGCACAGCCGGGAAGCGGGGTGGATTTTTTTCCTTTTTTTTTTTTTAAACGGAGGCGGGGAGGCGGCCACATCGCGTGCGCTTTCGCCGGACGCTGCTTCGAGTCCCGTTCCCGGGCACGCCGAGAGATCAGGCTCGGGAGATCGGGGTCACGGGGCAACGCCAGACCGCGCCGGGGTCCCTCCAGGCCCGGGACGGCGGCCCGCTGCGAGGACTGACCTTCCCGGAGGTGCCGTCCCCCAACACGACGATTTTCAGTTGCCGGTCCTGGCTCTCCTCCTCAGAGTCCGACATGGTGTCCCAGGCACCGGGGCCCGCCGGGCCCGCCCCCCCCCCAGATGTGGAGTAGTGAGGGGAAGGAAGGGACCTCCGGGGGCGGGGGCGAGGAGGAAGGGCGGCTCTGGAGGCAGTACCCCCCCCCGCCCCGGGGGGTCTCAACTGCGGATGGTGGGGTCCGGGGCGAGTCACTCGCCGGGCGCCATCTTGCCCGCCTCCCCGCCCCCCTGCGCGGGGGCCCGCCCCCTGCGAGTTACGTCACGCGCACGCCCCCGCCGGTGCGCCAATCAGCGCCGACCATGATCCTCTCTAGCGACGCGAACCATTCGCCGGCCGGGCCTCGGAGGGAGTTTCCCGGAAGAGAAGGTGAGATCCTCCGCTGTTTTGACAATAACAACGGTAAAAGGGGGAAAAAACACATCAAGCAGTGACAAATATGTAGAAATAAGAGCAGAATATTTCACAGGCGTTAAATCAAAATCCTACATCTCCTGACCTTCTTGGGACTCCTCCTAAAGCTAATGGGTCAGCCCGGGCCCGGAGGGGCGGGGATGAGGCTGGGATTGCGCTCCGCGGTTGCCATGGAGCCCGGGGTGGGCGTGGCTGGGGCGGGGCCTGTTTCTGGGCACCGAGGACGCCTGGGACCCGAAGGAGGGCTGTCTAAGGTATGGGGTTCGCTCCGATGGCTGCACTGCCGAGGAGTGCCAGCTCAGAAACTCAGCTGTGTTGCCTGGAGGAATCGGCTGTTACCGAAGTCGCGTTGCGAGGCTGAGAAACTACAATCGCGGCCGAGTGTGATGAGAACTATTGGCCTGGAATCTCCTTATCTCTTCTGTCATCCTCTTAAACCCTTCCCTGTCTCATCAGCAGCAGAACTGCATTCATGGGGCATCCACTAAAGGCAAGCCTCCTATTACAGCAGCTTTATCACAAAGCATATAGTTCTCAAAGTGAAGGCCGAGGACAGGATACGAAGGAAGACCCCAATCTTAACGGTTCTATCATCAGCAAACACATAATTTGCCCTTTGCATCTCCACTTCCTCTTAAATATGTGGAGAAATTTCCCAGAGGATGCACGTTCTCACTCTGGTAGCTAAGGGAATGTGTGTGCCTGGGATTTGAGTTTAATAAACATGTTTCGTGTTCATGTCAAGGCAATAATGATAACCCCGGCTGCATTCCCACTTTCTACGTAGGAAATTTGGATCAAATCCCTTACCGGTTGCCCTGTGCAATGGTGTGCAGCCGCCACACATCGGTCAGGGAAGACTTTGTGTGGTGCTGAATTTCATCCAGCTTCCAGACCGAGATGGACTAGGAAGATGGGCGTGGTGTTCTACTTAGAAAAGTCAGCCAAGGAAAATTGCTATGGATCACAATCCAATCCACTGCCTGTTGTGCACGTGACACAGGACTGGATGTGAGTGCCTGGTATTGCCATGTGTGAGAGACAGCCAGGCAGCAGTACCTAACAACAGCAACAGCGATAGCTGTAATCAAAAACTCTAAGGTGTTCAATTGTTTTAAAGGCATAGAGAGGCCCTGAATACACAAATTTTGAGAACTGATGTTCTGAATGATCTCAACTGCACAAAACTGAAAATTGCTATGTAATGAAATAAAATACGCATATATCATTATTTTTTATAATCACAATTTTGATAGATTATCACATTGACTACTCATCAGAACTCTATGATGTAGATACTAGAATTATCCCCATTTTGTAGTAAGTAAACCTTAAGATGACCATACCATGGACCACGAGGAGAACAAATAGGTCTGCCTTGGAAAGGGTAAAACCAAGTTTCTCCTTGAAGACAAGGATTTTTGAAGCTCCATATTACATACGTTGGGCATATGGCCAGAAGAGACCAGGCCTTGGAGAAGAACATGATGCTTGGAAGGGTGGAGGGACAGCATAGGAGACGAAGACCCTGGATGAGATGTATTGACATGATAACTGGGGGAATGGGATTAGGTGTGTGAGATTGGCTCAGGATAGAACAGGGTTGAGAGCTATTATACATGGAGTCACTGTGGGTTACAGACAACTTCATAGTATGTAAAAACAACAAGCCTTAAGTCAAAAAGAGTTAGACCAGAGCAATAGTACCAAAAAGGATATGAGAATTAGAATGAGGAAGAAATAACAGTGTACAGAAGTTCAGCCATCAGGATGGCACAGGACTCAAAAGGCAATTTAGTATCCCTACAAAGATTCTTACCACTGGACCAATTGGTAGCATCAGGATGGTTGGTCAAGAGATTGAGATTGTTCACAGCTTCAGTTTGCTTGGCTCCACGGTCAACACTCTTGCCACCAGCAGCCAGGAAATCAAAAAACATATTGCAATGGGAAAGTCTGCTGTTAGGGACCTCTCCAAAGTACTCAAGAGCAACGGTGTCTCTCTGGACACTAAGGTGCGTCTGATACAGGCCATGGTCTTTGCAATCACTTGTTATGCATCAGAGAGTTGGACAAGGACCAAGGAGGAGAATTGATGCCTTTGAGCTGTGGTGCTGGAGAAGAGTATTGAATGTCCCCTGGACAAGAAAACAAACAGATTCATCCTTGAGAGGGTTAAACCAGGCTACTCCTTGGAGGCAAGGATTGTGGGGCATCGTCTGACATACTTTGGACATGTTGTAAGGAGAGGCAAGTCCTTGGAGAGGGACATCATACTTGGTAAGGTGGAGGGACAGCGCAGGAGGGGAAGGCCCTCTATGAGGTGGATTGATTCAGTGACTGGGGTAATCGGGATGGTTGTGTCAGAGGCAATGCTATTGGCACAGGATAGAGCAGGGTTTAGGGCTGTTGTACATAGGGTCGCTATGAGTCGCAAACGACTCAATGGCACATAACAACAACAGCACATGTGACCTTATGTCGGTATACCATCAATTCCTGGGACCTTGTTTTTTTTCCAATTCCTTCAGAGCAGCTCAAACTTGTTCCTTCATCACCACAAGCTTTTGCTCATATGTTGTTTCATGAAATTCTTCTGTGCCTGCAAATTCCTTTTGGTACAATGTCTCTATACTACTTCCATCTTCTTTTTATGCTTGCTGGGTCATTTAATAGTCTTCCCAAAGCATCCTTAAGTATTACAACTTGAGGCTTGAATTTGTTCTTCAGTTTCTTCTGTTTAAGTAATGCTGAGTGAATTCAGACCTTTTAATTTTCTAACTCCAGCCCTTTGCACATTTCATTATTATTCTTTACTTTGTTCTCCCATGCTGCCTTTTGAAATCTTCTGTTCAGCTCCTTAATTTTGTGATTTTCCCCCCTTTGCTTTGGCTTCTCAACGCTGGAGTGCAATATTCAGAATCTTGTCTGACATCCATCATGGTCTTTTCTTACTCTGTCCTTGTAATAACCTATTGCATTCTTCATGATTGATATTCTTGATATTGTTGCCCTGAATACACTCACCAAGTTGTGACAAGAAGTCTAGAGGAAAACTACTTGGCCAAATGACTGTAAGAGATCCATATTTGCTTCCATTCCAGAGAAAGATGACCCAACAGACTGCAGAAATTATCAAACAATATCATTTTAAATTGCATGCAAGAAAGATTCTGCTGAAGATTATCCAAAAGCAACTGGAACAGCACATCAAGAACTACCAGAAGTGCCGGCTGGGTTTAGAAGAGGTCATGGTACTAAAGATATTATAGCTAATGTTAGATGGATCTTGGCTGAAAGCAGAGAGTATCAGAGGAATGTCTATCTGTGTTTCATTGATTATGCAAAGGCATTTGACTGTGTGGATCACAATAAACTGTGGCTGACTCTGAGAAGAATGAGAATCCTAGAATACTTGATCATACTTATGTGAAACCTATAAATGTACAAGGAGACAGTCGTCAGAACAGAGCAAGGAAACAGTACATGGTTCAAAATTGGGAAGGGTGTACACCAGTGAGGTGTACTCTCTCCATACCTCTTAAATCTATATGTAGAACAGATCATCTGGAAGGCTGGGTTCTGTGAAGGGGAATGTGGCATCAGGATTAAAGGAAGACTCATCAGCAACCTACATTATGCAGATGACACAACCATGCTGTTGAAACTGAAGAGGACATAAAGTGCTTTCTGCAGAAGGTCAAGGACTGCAGCCTTAAATATGGATTGAAGCTCAGCATCAAGAAAACAAAGATTTTCAATACTAGACCGATTGGCAACATCATAACAGCTTCAGTTTGCTTGATTCCACAATCAACACTCTGGGTACTAGCAGCCAGAAAATCAAAAGACGAATTGCACTGGGACAAGTCTGCTGTCAGGTACCTCTCCAGAGTATTAAAGAGCAACAGTGCAAATCTGGAGACTAAGGTGCACCTGATCTAGACCATGGTCTTTGCAATTACTTGCTATGCATCAGAAAGCTGGACAATGACTAGGGATGATAGGAGAATTTATGCCTTTGAGCAGTGGTGCTGTAGAAAATCATTGAATATACTATGGACTACTAAGAGAACAAAGGGATTCATTGGAGATGGAGAGAACAGGCTGCTCTTTGGAAGCAAGAATTCTGAAACTTCATTTGGCATACTTTGGAAATGTTGCAAGGAAGGACCAGTCCTTGAAAAAGGACATCATGCTTGGAATGGTGGAGTAACAGCACAAGAGAGAAAGGCCCTGGATGAGATGGATTGATTCAGTGACTGTGATAAAGGGGGTAGATGTGTCAGAGACAATAAGTTTGGCTCCGGGTAGAGCAGGGTTCAGAGGTGTGTACATAGGGTGGCTAGGAGTTGCAAGCAACTTAACTGGAACATAACATTTCTTCATCTATAAAAAAGAGGTTGTTACTGTTACTATGCCTTCGAGTCAAATATGACTCATAGCATCCCTGAACACTGTCCTCTCCTGCACCATTTTATCATCCCCATCACACTTGACCCTATGGCCACAGACACTGTGTCAATCCATCTCATTGAGGGTCTTTGTAGCTGACCCTCCATCTTTCCAAGCATCATGTCCTTCTCCAAGAAATAACTTGCCCTGGCGACATGCCCAAAGTATGTGAAATGAATCTTTGCCATCCTTGCTTCCAGGGAGCACTCTAATTGCACTTAATCCAAAACATATCTGCATATTCTCTTGACAGCGCATGGAATACTCAGTACTCTTCTCCAACACAACTCGAAGGCATGAATTCTTCTGTCATCCTTATTGTACAGCTCTCTTATACATAGCAGGTGAGTGGAAAGACAATGTCTTGAATCAGATA